AATTGTAGGTAATGACCAAAAAAAGAAAAGAAGGTAAATTATGACAAAGATGGAGAGCAACATATTTAAAGCACCTAACTTAACCTTATACATTAATACTTTATCAACCAGTGTCAAAACGGATGATTCCGTAAAAGCTAATGATGATAACTACAATAAGCTGTGCTTCTAAAATTCCTGCATGTGTTAGCTTGGGGCACTGTGCTAGTTTGTCCTCTGTAAACCCTGCTGTGTTTTCACATCCTCCTTCTCTCAGCACAGCATATGGCATTTTTATAGGGGGGAGTGCACACAGTCAAGCAGATAGATCACAGATGATTGCATTTTCTTCCTCGTGCCGTCCTTTGCCTTCTCCTTCTTCTCTATATCAGCCAGGGTAGGAAGGGGTTTTCATGAGGAGCACTGCACGTGCCGCCTCATATTTAATTACTTAGGCATGTAGGCTAAAGCAACACAACAATTCCATTTCACTGCATCCCCCTGAGATTTTATCCCTGTGTACAAAGCATGTTGCATGTGTGTGTGTTGCGTACCCTATTTATTTCTCTGCCTGCTGTTCCACATGGAGACTCTGAGCATGGGAGACCTGGTGTGTGTATCTGTGTTTGCAGATTGCAGGAATGCCAGGTCGGAGTGAGTGGGAGGAGAGTGATTATAGGCTGTGTTGCTTCTTTATAGGTGTGTTTGGGGGTAGCCTATATCTTTTATAAGATTGTTATCATATTGTATTTGTATGTGGGTGTTTTACATTATAGAACAACTGCCGATCTTACTGTGTATGCACCAACTAAGTGTCTCACTTGCTTGCAGGATATTATGATTGAAACATATAGCTGAAGTGAAGACTTTTTCTTCTTCTTCTTTTTAAATTGACCATAGCAATAGCTCAGGTAGGCCATTAAGTCTAGCTCAGTTGCAATACCACCAGATCAAGTCATCTTCATTCAAGCATGCATCACCTGATGCCTCAGTTGATTGTCTTCTATCCAGCTGGCAAATCTCTAATGTGTAATCACACATTACAGAGCATCTGCAAACCACTCTGCAACCCACCTCCACCCCAATGCTTCCTCCCTGTATCTGACATAATCAATGTAGGATTTGTTGTTGTGGATGTTTTATTGTAGAAAGATACAGACCTCTCCCTGACTCTTTCCTTTTTCTTTTTTTTTTCCATCTTCTAAAGATATAAAATCTCAATACAAAAATATAACATTATAATCTCACTGTATAATTTTACAGTCCACACAAATTTTTGGTATCATTTAAGTAGTTATTTGTCTAAAAAGACAAATGATGTTGATTTACATTTGTAAAGCACAAATAGTGAACAATATGCAAAGCTGAAAATAAAGGTGCTGTATTCTTTTTTTTAAAAAATATTATATCACATAAAATACTTTGATGAACCCACTCCTTCCTGCTGTGTTAGACTAAATTAGTCCTTTGGGTTGTCGTCGTTGCCTGCTCTGTTCTGTGATGGGTTTTGCTCTTCATGCCTTTTACGTTCCATTATTGCACACTGAAGGGTGGGAAAGTCTCAGTAAAGAGTTATACCACCGTATATAAAGTACTGCAGGTGGAACTAGCAATCTTCTCTTGGCAATAGAGTTGTTAACGCTAGTGTATTTTCAGTTTAAACTATGAATAATTGTGTGACTTATCCTCAAACAAAGGAATTTCAGGCCAAACAGGTTAACACATACCATATAGTGAAGCATTGTGCTGGTGTACTGTGGAGACGTTTTTTGGCTGTGGGAACTGGAGCTGAATGCAAGCAATGTACAGAGACATCCTTGATGATAATCTGCTTCAGAGCCCCAAAAGGACGACGACCCTAAACGCACAGCCAAGATAACAAAATAGTGGTTTCGGAAAAACACTGTCAATGTCCTTGAGTCGCTTCAGCCAGACCCAGAGTTGGCTCTCTTTTGGCTCTCAGCGAAGGCGGTCACACTTTTCTCCTCTCCTGCCCTTATCTTCCCTGCTTAGCTTCTTATGTCCTTGTCTTGTCTTGTGTTTTTACTTACTTTTCCCTGGAACACTCTCTCACAGTCTGTTCTCTAAAACCTAAAAGAGGAATTATGGATTTGATCAACTGGTCTCTGAATGCAA